ATCAGGATGTCTATGTGAACTTTCTCCAGCTTCATGTACAATGTATCCGCATTTAGCTGCAGAGAACACGCGCAGTCATTTAATGCAACAAAAAACCTTCACCCCTCAACTCACCCCAATTCCTGCTCCTTCACCCCTCAACTCACCCCAATTCCTGCTCCTTCACCCCTCAACTCACCCCAATTCCTGCACCTTCACCCCTCAGATCACCCCAATTCCTGCACCTTCACCCCTCAGATCACCCCAATTCCTGCACCTCCCCCCTCATATCACCCCAATTCCTGCACCTTCACCCCTCAGATCACCCCAATTCCTGCACCTTCACCCCTCAGATCACCCCGTTTCCTGCACCTTCACCCCTCAGATCATCCCAATTCCTGCACCTTCACCCCTCAGTAGTATGGCAGTTACTGTATGTAATCAGGACGGTACCATCAACATGTGAAATAGTTTGTCTCCGATCGCCGCCCGCACGTCTTCCTCCACCACAGGAAACGATGACACAAAATACTGCAATGAGAGGTGAAGAGATCGGTCAGCTCACACACACCACATCCAATCAGCACACAGGTGGAATCCCCCAACAATGAATAGGAGTCGCCTCAAAGTATATCTAAAGCCAAAAATGTTTCTTTGCACTTTGGATGGAGTGGAGAGGGGTTAGAACCCATGTCACGGTTTTATTCCTATATGTGTCCCTGCTGGGGAGATTCACCCTCTCTATTTGCCTGGTCCCTAAGGATGGGCTCGGGCGTGTTCCCAGCTCCACGTGCCGAGCCCGCCAGGAATCTGACAGCGCCGCAGCGCCAATCACAGGCACTGAGACATTTTCTCAGTCCGCAGCGGCAGAGATCGGGAAATGTCTCAGTGCCTGTGATTGGCGCTGTGCGCTGTCAGCTTCCTGGCGGGCTCGGCACGTGGAGCTGCGAACACCCCCGAGCCCATCACTAGGGACCAGGACAAATAGAGAGGCCCGAGCCCATCCTTACTGGTCACCTGTACAGGAAGTGATTGGAAATCCATAATTTTGGGTGCCCACCAGACTGCAAGTCCAGGAAGAACCTACGGGAACCTCTCTGACTTACTAAGCTGAAGTCAGGGCACAATAGCATGTAGCATCATGCCAAAATAACAAGAAACATGTTTGTTTGTTTTTTTACCCAGGATACTTTAAATAAATGAATCATATATATGACCAAAAAGTGTCTGTAACAGCCCTGAGTCCCTCCCCCAGAGACCAGTGTTATATCCAGACACTTTAGAACTGGTCTCCAGACTGCCCCCTTATACAGGCCCCACCTCCAGCACTGCTCCCCCTCCTTCCTAGTGACAATGGTCATCAGAGAAGGTGACACAGAGACAGGAAGTGATGGAAAATCTTCCCAGCAGGGACAGAACTGCCAGGGACTCCAACCCTTCCACACTACATTGAAAGTAAAAAATAATAATAATTGCAAAAAGAAATGTAATCTCCCAGCTGCGGCATCCCAGCTATACTGGGTGACATCTCACCTCCAAGGCCAGGCTGGCCTGTCTCTGGCTGTCTGTGTGCTCAGTATTCCCCATGGCATGCAGCAAGTGATGGACGACTCTCAGCTGGATAAGATCTTCACACAGCTGGGGGGACTCCCGAGCCAACATCCTGCAATGATCCGAACAGATTATTCTTCACCTATGTCAGCAGGGGGGAGGACAGCAGGGCAGGAAAAGGACAACAGGAGGGGAAAGGACAGCCGTAAGAGGACAGTGTTGTGGCGGGGGGGGGGAGAAGGGGGGGG